TTCGGTACTTTTGACATTGCCAGGTGTAGCAACAAGCACGTTCATTTAACGGGTCCTTTTCACATAGGCGTATGCCCCGGAGTCGTCAAAATCAGAACCCGAAGGTATCTACATTGGGCATGAACTGACACAACGCAGTGCTAATAGGAAGTGCCTAGGTGTGGTGGATGACCCCTGCGATGCTTCGCGCAATCAAGCTTTGGCCTAGCCGGGGCCGGCTTGAAACACCATCAACAATTTCGGCAACGCACGATCTCCCTGTATCGCATCGCAGCGCGAACAACATCTGACGTCACACCCGACCATGGCTTCCGTGCCTTCCAGCTGGGCACACAGTCCGCGTCCCCCTTAGTCCTTTTGCACGCGCAACGCACATTGCTCACTCAGCATTCAATGCGTGACGCAGCCGCATACAACGAGTCCTCCGCGTCATGAACGCCGTCGCCCTGTCTACCTCCGTGTCATAATCACGATGAGCAGCTATTTCCATTCGATTGCCTATTTTTTCCGCCTCCCCTTCCACATACAATGGCGGTAGGATATTCCGCAATGAATAATGCGCGAGGCCGACACTGACTGCATCCAGCACTGCGCTTGTCCAAATACCGCGATTCGTTCCTCTCTCCATCCTGCACGTCACGTCGCCTAAGGGGCCCCATCCTTTTCTCATATCGCTGCCGAGTCGGAAGGACAACCTCATCTACTGCTACGTCTTTGTGCCGCCGAAACCGGTCGATCTCGATGGCAATGGCGACCAGGAGAGGAAAGAGACTGGGGAATGGCGTGTGCCTGTGGTGCTGGATTTTCATGGTACGAAAGCGGGGTGTTTATGAGGACGCTCGTGGCTAACAGAACCAGGCGGAGGCTTCATAATGGGATCGCCCTTGGAGCAAGCCCCGTATGCGTCGATGATGTCGCGTGAGCTCGGAGCCGTAGTCATCAGCGTATCCTATCGCATCGGACCCTTCCACCAATTCCCCGCCGCTATTCACGACGCGGAAGACGTCTTGTCCGCGATTCTAGACACGAGTGGAGTTTCGAAAGCCGGCAAGGTCCTTAGAGAGGAAATTCAGCGGTACTACTCCATAGTACGGGATGGCGCACTGGAAAAGAAGAAGAAGGAACCTCTTGCACCACATCTTGAGCACGTCAAGACCATCACCCTCGACCCTACACGTCTGGCGATCTCAGGCTTCTCGGCAGGAGGAAACATTGCCTTGAACATGGCTATATCAGTACCGCCTTGTCCTGAACTCGGCATGTCGACTACAATCGGTCCTCGCTCGCGCACGAATGATCCTGCGCATGCAGACACCATGTCGCCTATCATGCCCGAAAACCGCAGAGCCACGATTCTAGACGATCCCTTCGAGTCGTGGCCCTCTCTCCTACCTCCCGCGCAAGCACAGCCCCGCATGCTGCCGCTCCTCCTATTCTACCCTTCGCTCGACGCACGCCTACTCCCACACGAACGTCCCATGAAGCCACTACCCAATGCGCTGCGACCGGACGACCACCACAAACAAAAGCCGAAAGCACCTGGCCTGTTCTCAATTATGGGTCCAACCTACCTCCCGCGCAAACTACGACCGCACCCGCGAGCCAGCCCCGGCTTGAACGACCCAATGCACATCCAGAAGAACGCCGCCATCCTCCTCGTCCTACCTGAAAAAGACACTCTAGCCGTGCAAAGCGACGTCTGGGTCGACAAGATGAACAACAACGACTGGAACGGGCCTGTACGCTTCGGCGACGGGCGCTCAGGCGACTGGGACGGGCGCCAGGGTGGACAAGCGGGATCGGACAATGTACCCAGTAGCCAGAACGGAGGCATGGAGGTCTGGCACGCGCCTGGGTGCAGACATGGTTGGACGCAGTTTCCGGATACTTTTGTGCCTCAGCATGAGCGCAGTGAGAGGGAATTGGTGTTTGCACGGACGCTGGATTTTGTCAGGGATAATTGGAGGAAGGAGTTGCAGGTTGAGAAGCGGCAGTTGGGGAATCAGATTCAGGAGTTGAGACGGTTGAGTATACCTGGGGAGGATGAATAAGATGGGAGTTCAAGTGCAGCTGTAGGCCTCGTAATTGGATTCACTACATCGAAAGTGATATCTTTGCACAGGGGCGAGTCTCAGGGCGAGACTGAGAATCACCACAGCTGTTTTCTCGATAGTGAGCAGGTGTTCTAACATGAACGTTTTCAGCAAAATATCTGTATTGTGCGATGTATGAGGCACGTATCTGGTACTGCATCCTGCAGGGAACGAAGATTAGACAGAGTACCTGTCTTGTGTCCCATAACAACCAATTTCCAGCAATCGTCTTACCCCATAGCCTCCACGCACTCTCCCCGGAGTTTACCCCAGTGTACTATATGTTGTTGGTCTCTTGTTCGGTATTACTCGCACTGGATCAGCGGATCGTGAAACAAGCATGTGACTGGGAGAAATGCCGAGCCGCTTGGCTGAAGTAAGGAGTGTCTTGGGGGGAAGATTGTGTGTTGCTTAGGCGGCTTGGCCCCAGGTGCGGGATCGACGGGACGTTGTTGTGCGACGGTGGGAGATGGGAGAGATGGGATTGGTGTGGGAAAGAGGTGGGGAGGGGAGGTAGTGTCTGGTGATGTGGAATGACAGCACGATGAAGACGACCAGCCTTAGAGGTGTGCAGAGCATACACTTCTTTTCCAAGATGCACTGTCGATGTACTTCTCTGCGTGTTATGAACCAAGGGTCTTGTTCGCAGCAGAGCAACATCCCGGTCTGTCACTGCTAGCTCTTCGCATGTCGCGACGAGTAACCCAGCTTGTAACGTTTTAGCCAGTTTGAAACCACACTGCACACTTCAGGCAAGTATGGCGCAAGCAAGCAACATTAGTACGCGCGCCGCTGCCGAGTCAAACTAGCAAATGAGGGGTAATCCCAAACTACATCGCTCGTACTCTCCACATTCCAACACGTGGTGCTGGTGGAGGAGAGCGCCGATGTATGTGTGTTTACGACGCTGCTGATATCACGCGCATGTGAGAGTCGGTTGTTCGGGAATGGAAGGAAGGAACTACGTCATATTGCGATGCAAAGACAAGGATTAGGTGTAAGAGGACGGCAGACAGCTGTTCAGGCCTGACCGCAAGTAGCAAGCCGTGCCGGATACCGGGTAATACCCAAGCTGCGTACTGTACACTGCGTAAGTTGTGTGGGGTACCTTTTCTTCCTACACAGCCGTAGCAGATACGTATGTATGGAGTACGAAGCAACAGGACGATGGCATTGGCGCGAAAACCACGCGTGGGGGTTGTTAAGCAGGAGCGTCACGCGTCATGGGGTACGGCTTCCTTCCCCGCGAATACAATGTCGGCGATTGGGATAAGCTCGTTTGAAGCCGGCTGAGGCGCTTGCTGGCGAAATGTTATACTGCGTCTCAGCGAACGGAACCCCAGACGTGAGATGGACCCTCTTGCTGGGCACTGCACGACAAGCCTCGTGCAGCTGCAGATTGGCGGCAGAGCACGGTGGTTTAAACCGGTATCCCGTTCTTGAGGCTTGAATGGAGTCAGATGATGGACTACTTTCCACAGTGTAGACGCGTCCTCTTTGGACTAAGGTGAGGCGCGGGTGTAGGAGAAGCGGTCAAGTAGCGGTGTGGAGGTGGTAGCAAGAGATGAAGCTGCCATGTGGAGCTGAGAGAAGGGAGAAGGGAGGAGGTATGGAGACATGGCGAGGAATGAGGCATTTGAGGAAAACGATATTAAGCCGCCGTGCTTGGGGTTGAGCAGAGGGCGTGCATGTGGTCGTGTTGATGCATGCGACGTCGGACAGATGGTACAAAAGAAGGTGTGAGGGCTGGCTAGCGGGGCGTTGTCGGCGGCGTCGCGTTGATCAGGGTCCTGTTTCCGAAGCTTGCGGAATTCAGCATGGCATGGGCTGCGCTGCTCGATTGCGTCTTGCATCGGCTGTGCTGGAAGGATGAAACCTGCTTTGGGGTACTCCCAGGTGCTGGAGTATTCTAGTCGCAGATGTCATCTCCGCACTGACAAGGGGAGGAAGTCAATCATCAACAACAAAGGCGATAACAAAGCAATACAAAAGCCGCAACAAAGTTCATTGATTGTTGATGAGTGAGGGTGACTGCGCGCAGAGATTGCCGAATCTGACGGCCAGAGGGCTCGTGTCACGGAAGTGCAGGTGTGGCAGCGTGAGCAGGTGCATTGCTAGACCAGTGCACAATTGACAAAGGCCCAGCGTGGCATTGGCTGCGCGGGCGTGGGCGCGAATTAAAATGCCGGCTACCCACTGTTTGTGCTTTGCAGACCATCTGGTGCCGAGCCGCCAGAGCGCATATCAAATTCCTCGCTCCCTCTCTCCTACGACCAGTCCCACCTGCGTTGCGCCACTACTGTTGCAGTCTGAAGTCGCCTGACAGCACAGCTTGGCCCTCGATCTGCACCCTCCCTAGCACCGCTCACTCACGCACTTGTCAACGGGCCCTCTGCTAGCCTGCGGCCCGTCGCCACACGTCGCTGTCGCTGTGGGAACTCGACCTCATCCTCTCCAGGTACCCCTTCCCACTCGACACTGCCCGACGCTTGTCGCTTCTGACACGTCTTCGAGCCCGCTTCTAGTTCCACCCACGGCTCCTCACACACAGCTCCACCATGTTTCTGTCCATATTATAACACTTCGCCTCACTGGGGCCCCACTCTCCCACACACCCATCCATACCGCCCAGCAGTAATCCGCCGAACCGCCTCTAATTGCATTGCACTCGACACGATCGACATAGCACGCCGCCTGCTCTAACGAGGGTCCAGGAACGCTGCGGCAGGTGCATTGCGCCAAAAAGAAACCGTGAAACGCCTCACCCGCTTGCATCACGACCACACAACTTCACTATTACGGCATCACTTCGAAATATTATTCGCACTCCGCAATTGAATCTGATACACGACCTTGCACCGACCCCACGCACGTTCCTCGATCGATACACCACCGACTACAGAACACATGGCGAACGAGCAGGATTACTTTGCTAGACAGGGCGCGTTGCAAGTAAACACACAGCAGAACATGTCGAATACATGTCCGCCAGATATGACAGCAGAGGAGGAGGCGGTCGGCGACCTAGACGAACCCCCTGAACCTCGCGCGCAACGCCCTGCCCCCCTGGTGCTCCAGCATTCCTCCTCCACATCCTTCACCAAATCGAAACCCGTCATCGATCGCAAAGCATCGCTTCTCACATCCGCGCTCAAGTCGGGCTCGAACGCGAGCTCGCCTGTTGAGGAACACTCGGATGCGAGCCCCGTCCGCGGCATGTCGTGCGTCTCGACATGGAGTAACAACAGCGGCACCGCAGATCTCACTAGCGACGGAGGCTTCACGAGCCCTGGCACACGGCCCTGCACGCCGAGCCCGCCACTTCCTTCGGCAGCGTTCCACAGCATGCTGCCCACGTTCAACAACAAACCGTTGGAGTTACCCATCTCCGTGGTCTCACACGACGACGAGAACATCACCCCAGTACCCAAGACCGCGCCTGCTCAGAGCACCGAGCAGAGCATCGAGGCTGTTCTGGGAAGGAAGAGGCGCATCATGTTTGCGTGCGGGCCCAAGGAGGACAAGAAGCCAGCAGAGGCACCTGCAAAGCCCGCGCCTGTGCCTACTCCCCAGGCCGAGGAACCTCCCAAGCGCGTCTGCACCATCAAGTTCGCGTGCCCATCCAAGCCATCTACAGAAGCAGCGCCGAAACCCCGCCGCATGGCCAGCCCCGCACCGCCACCACGCCGGATACCCTCGTCTCCCAAGCCAACCACCAAAGTCCATCGCGACTCCGATTCTACGGTCCGCAACAATTCCCCCGTGAGCGTGCGTAAAGTCCGCCCGGTTGACCACACGCGGCGCTTGAGTTCCAACTCCGATCTTGCCCGCTGTGAAGCATACCGGTTCCACGAGTTTGCTAGCTCAGAAGAGGAGGTCGAAGAGTGGACTCAAGAAGTTACCTGCCATCGAAGCCGGCTTACGGTCCAGGATACGCTCAAGATTGAGAACAACCTGCGTAAGCTGGGCGAGGAGGTCGCTGAAGAGGAAGCCATTGACGAAGAGGACGAGGACGATGATGAGGACAACGTCGAAATGGATGATGACGATGACGATCTGCTAGACGAGGATGAAGACGCCGCGTACAGCGATGCGACTGATGAGGGTTTCCAGACTGATGATGAGAACGGATTTGCCGTCTCAGATGATGACAGCGATGCCGGGTCTGACTACGACTGGTGGGCGCCTGGAGCATCAACTGCAGCGACATCTGTAGAGCACCTGGAACAGCTTCGACTGAAGACTCACCGAACCGTCTCTGAATCATCGATTGGGTCTTTGGAGAGCCGCGAGGGTCTCAAGATCATGGACAAGCCTTCCAAGCGCAGAAAGTCATCGAAGCCGGTCAACATCCGCGTTCCCACCCCTGAGCTGCCCGACAGTACAGACTTTGTTTGCGGTACGCTTGATGAGGATAGGCCAGCTGAAGCTGCGTACATGTCGACACTCGAACGTCGACGTGCGGCCAAGCACAAGCCCACTCCACAGGACATTGACCCTACCTTCCCAACATCGGATCCGGAGCTTCCTGACGATGATGAGGATGAGGTCTCTGAAGACGAGAAAGCTTCCGAGACTGATCATCTCATGATTCATGGCCGCATGGACCCTGTCAACATCGATGGACGAGGTCGCCGCAAAGAGGTTTCAAAGAAGCGTTCTCCTCTGCCATCACCGAAGCGCTTACGATCTCCTCCACCCGCAAAGCGTGCTGTGCATCGCTCCCCTCCACCACGCAAGCTGTTTGGAAACTCCCCCAAGCGCCACCATTCTCCTCCGCCTCCAATGCGCCTTAGGTCTCCACCACCTACACGTCGCGGCTCCGTCAACCCTGTGAACATGACCACACGTCAGCGCAGCGATACCTCCATCCGCTTCGCCGGCATCGCCGAGCGTCCTGCACCCACAGTCTCAGCGTCCGTCCCACGCACCCCCATCACCATGCGCAACCCATTCGACCTCGACGAGGACGAAGATGCCGACGGCTCCGACATGCCCATTCGCCGCGCCATCGACATCAAAGTCGGGCTCGAGAAGAAGAGGCAACGACGCAAGGAGAAGCTGTACCGCAAGCAACACCGCAAAGGTGCCAAAGAAAAGCGTCCCGCTCCTGGTCGCGGCGCAGAACGCATGCGCGAGATGGGCCTCGCGGTACACGCTCACAAAGGCAAGACAAATGCCTTCCAACCGTTTGGAATCCGCAAAGATGCGGATGAGGAGGATATGCATGTTTTGTCGGCGTAGACGACAGACGTGTTGTACAGGTGAGGATCAGCGCCGCCGTATATATTCGGCATTTTTACATGTTCCCTGCAGTCTGTTGTAGGGCTTGTTGGTCGCTGATCCCACTTTCTCGTTAGGGTTGCTATGGAAGCACCCAGCGATTTCAACTTCTTAGGCTCCTTGTTCTTTTCCTCTTCTTTGCCTACTTACCTTCTTTTTTCGAGCTTCTTTCACTACTTATGGGCTTCTCATGTACATAGCCTTTTTATCTATATTTTTTTTGCCAAACACTTACTTTTGGGATTCTCACGTTACGTATCTTTAGTGTCTCTTTTGTACTTGACTTATTGCATCTAGGATCTAGGAGTTTTGCGTAGCATTGATGGCCTCCTCGTAGGGTACAGCGGGTTGAGCGCCGGTTGGGGAGTTTTATGTGAATCTATCATAGCATCGCAGGATGTGCATGTCCTGTGGATTGACTGTTGTGCCATTGAGATTGCTAGACGTTGACTTATTATATGTGACTTGGTTATCATCATTCAGGTCCATGTCCATCGCAATGTAGGGCCCGCAGATAAAACGCCCGTATCGATATTCTGTTCGTGAGTTCCACCGTGTGTCTTTCTAGACGTCTTGAGTAAGTAAACACATATGTGCCCTGCAGTAACGAGTGTAGCTACACTGCAAGTGTCCATCCCATACCGCTACAGTCACCCTTCGCGCATCACACTGATTTTCCCATCACCACAAAAAATCTGCCAACGTCCTCACCTCCCCCATGACTCTCGTGTGCTCCACCCGTCACACATAACATGGTTCGATGATGTAAGGGTACTCCACAACCGGCACTTGCGCAGATGCAGACATGCAACGGGTGACCCACTACCCACGAGCGTAACAACCATGGAACCGACCCACGACCCACAAACGCAGAAGAATTTAATGCCCGATGGATCAACACCTGCTTTGACGTCGGTTACATTTCAACTGCCGCGGGACGCTACTGGCCAAGTATATGTATATGCGCTATGCGAACACGTACGCGTCCTACCGTATTAACTTGTATACTTGTATGGAGCTAAATAGGTGCATCTGCATGCGCTCGCAGTACACCCATAATGTAATGATGATACCTACACTATTGCCATCGTTCAATAGTCTCGACAATACACCTAGACACGTTGAAGCAGGTGGCTTGAATGACATCAATTGATGCAGGTGGGTCGCGTGCGCCACCTTACTGGATTGGGCTGGCAGGTGCTAGAGGCCGCGCGTGCTTCAACAGTTCCAAGGTAAGCGCGCGCAGGGTCGCATCTCACGACGGATGCAGTGCGGTTGTGCTGGTATACTGTGATAGTTGCACCCTGAGTTGCACGGGGGGCCTGAAGTTGATAGACGAGGATCCTTTGCTCGTATTCGCATCGTGCAGCGGGTGCAGCCGAATGCTTGACATGCGACTGACAACGCGTGGGGAAGGCGGGGCGTGTGGTGGAGGTTGATTCTATAGTATTTTATGCAGATGTAGTCTATATTCTTCTTGTTTTTGCACTCGAGGTTAGAGTATCTGCTTGCGAACAATCTGGAGGCATGATGTTGAGGTAACGACGAGGTGCATGTGAGGCGTCGGTACCTTCTCGCCCCTGTCATACGTACTACTGTAATGTACTAAGCGTTGACCGATCTAAATATCCCGCCGCGCACTGCACTCCGCAACGCCCTCACCGTATCTCCCATTGGGGGCAACCCGTCTTGTCCATCACCATGCCAACTCCACCGTGAAGCGTCTATCGTCATTCCTCCCGCCGGCTGTCCCCATCGCCGCCCCTCTTCTTTTTCCACAACCGTCTTTGGAACCCTTCACCTCTGCCAGTCGCGTGCCGGTCCTCGTTCTTCGTCGACGCCGTCATAGCGCTTCGCTTCCCTTTCACTTGTACATATTCATATTGGTAGTGTCGCCATCCATGTCGCCTCCAGCCACGCTCCGAAGCTCCCCAATTTCGATAATATAGACACGCGCGACCGACTTCGCTCGCGTGTCCACGCTACCCGCACCCCCCATCGTCGCTCCGGTTCACGTCGCCCGGATCCCGCTAGCACCCATGCTCATGAAGAAGATGTGGATAGTGGAGGAGCGGAAGGACAAGACTGTATACCGTCGCCGCTGTCCGACCGGCGGAGAAGTCCTCTCCTTCTTCTTCGTCTCGGCATGCGCCCTCCTGTTCCTCATCATCTGCACCATTCTCTACGGCACGCGCACACAAAACCCGTCCTTGCCCCCGCTCGTCAAGGAGTACATGCCCGCCGGCCGCTGTTTATGCGAGTTCAGTACGACGTTCTCCTGCGACACTTGTCTGGATTGCGCTGCAAACCAGGCTATTCTCACGACTAATGCGACGGAGTTGGAAGAAAATGGGCTGTGGACTTTTACGTATCCAAGGGATAAGAACAATTATGGGCTAGATGAGGCGCAGTGTGATAGCGCTTTTCCGGGACAATATGAGGATATTGAGCGTGCGGTCAAGGTGCGGAGTCGCTGGGGTAAGGTGACGCAGGCGGATCTCAATAGCTTCGAGCTTACGAAGGGGATGGTGAGGGCTATGGTTTATGATAGAGAGGTTTGTTGAGTTCTGGACAATTGGCAAGTGCTGAGCGCATGCTAACATACAACAGCTCTACATCCTCGAGACTCACATGGTCGATAACGTCAACCGCCAAAAAGCCATTGCAACTCTCAGCGCCATATACCGCGCCGTTCTCGCCGCCCCCTCAACCGCCGATATCCCAAACATCGAATTCGTCTTCTCCGTAGAGGACCTCCCTGCGCAACCCCACAAACCGATATGGTCCCTCACCCGCCGTGTCCAGGACCATAACCTCTGGTTAATACCCGACTTTGGGTTCTGGAGCTGGGACATGCCCGCGCTGGGCACACTGGACGAAGTTGCTCAAGAGGCGGTTCAAAGGGAAGCCGTCGAGTCGTGGGACCAAAAGATCGAGAAGCTAGTCTGGAGAGGCAAAATCACTTTTGCGCCTAAGCTGCGGAGAGCGCTCCTCGATGCAGCGAAAGGCAAGCCATGGAGTGATGTCGGCCAACTCAAGTGGACAGATCCAAATTTCAAAGAGCAGTTTCTCGGGCCGGTGGATCAGTGTAATTACATGTTCATTGCTCACGCCGAAGGTATTATACACCCAACCACGAATAGAGTTCTGCATACTAACAACCTCCACCAGGTCGTTCCTACTCCGGCTCCCTCAAATACCGCCAACTGTGCCGCTCAGTAATCGTCTCGCACAAACTGCAATGGATACAACACCACCACTACCTCTTCCGCTCCAACGGCTCCAACCAAAACTTCGTCGAAGTCGAACGCGACTTTTCCGATCTAGCATCTGCTATGGAAGATCTGCTTGACCACCCTGAAAAGGCAAAGCGCATAGCAGATAACTCGGTGCAGGTATTCAGAGAAAGATATCTGACGCAAGCGGCGGAGGCGTGTTATTGGCGGAAGCTCATGAAGAGGTGGAGGGATGTTGTCGATTGGGAACCGGTGTTGTTTGCTGGGAGTGGAGAGGATGGGATGGCGAAAGAGAGGAATAGGGTGAGGAGGAGGGGGGTAAGGTATGAGACGTTCATGTAAGTTGCTTCGGACTAGAGTGAAAAGTGAGGATATGGATGGCTAACAAACCTGGTAGGCTCTACGAACCCAAAATCCAACTTTCGTACCCGGAATCGGCGCATTGAGCTTGAGTTGCGGACTCGCTCGCACACTTATATCGCAGCTGACCTTGTTTGGCCGGTGTTACATCTTCTGGAGTATAGGCGGGATAGCTATTTGAGAGCGTTTATACCCCTTTCGTGTTTGCGAATCTTGTTTACTTGTTTGGTCGATGGGAGGGTTTAGAAGAGGGAAGTAAAAGCGATGTTAACTAGTTACGATACTATGTAGAGTAATACGTAATATAGCATCGATTCAAACATAACTAGTTCACACGCATGAGATCTGGACGTGTTGGCGTGTATCTTGTGTGAGGGTCTTATGACGTAATACACACGGCTACAGTACCGTTTCAGTGCTGTTGAATCTGCGACACATGGTAAAAGATATCTCACACTTGAAACGTTTACAGACACGTGAAAGAGGGAGTTGTATAAATGTAACGTTTTGGTATTGATACAAGATCTCGTAGACAGTCAGTGCTAATCCCAGACCGCCTACATGTATTCCCCGCCTGGCTGTTGCAGCGAGGCTGATTGTCCCTCAGCCACCGTGTGTGTGGTGTTGGTCCACGTCTCCCAACGGTCCCCACGAAGGTGGACGAAGTGCGGGATAGCGCGATGCAGAGTGCAGGAGCGTGTGTGTGTGTGTGTGTGGAGACAGATAACAAGACCTCTTGGATGGTCTGGGAGGGGTACTGCGCTGTGTTGGCCTCTCCAGAGATGAAAGTAGAGTCCAGGATGGGCAGTGCGGAAGGGGATGTTCCAGGGATATGCCTGTCCGGGACGATGGCCGATGGTAGGTGTGGGTGGGTAGCAAGGAGCTCGGTCGAGCGTTTCTCGGCCGTAGTCTTGCTGCTCGTGGGGGATGTGAGTACTGGAAGTGGACCGCTTCGAAGGAACCTCGTAACGGACATCTCGCCGTGGTCTTGTGATCAGACCGAATAGTCAATCGCGTCGACTAAGCTCAAGAATAGTCGGTAGGCAGACGCTTTGTCTCAGCCCTGACTTCCGCGGTCAAGGCCTTGACCTCAGCCGTCAACGCGTCAAACTCGGCTCTTAGAGCCTTCTCATCGCCCTCCAGCATTATAGCTCCAGTCCTCGAGAAGAACCTATGCCAGATGTTAGCATGTAAGTCTCTTTCACACAAGCTGTCAGCAACCCACCTCATCCACACCCACTCCCCCGCAACCCAAACCATCGTAGCCAACATAAACAGCCCCAGCACCGTCCCCACATAATGCACCTCCTGCTCGACGCCTCCCCTCCCCCTCCCACTCACCCCGTCAACCTCTTGTCCAAACCC